CTCGGAGCCTGGCCCGCTTCCGTGAGGGCTCCGCCCGCCGCCCCGCCCCGCCTGCCTTAACCCCTACGACGCCATTGTAGGGGCCAGCAAGAAGAGCAGGTCCAGGTGTACTGCCTCACCAGGCAACCCTTCCCACTCTCCTAGCCTGGCGATCCTTGACAGAGAGTCCAATCATGCTGCTGTCATCTCTGAGAAAGGCAAAGCTACGCAAGTAAGCCCTGTGACCCAGCTCCAGCTCTCCGAGGAACCCCAAAGTGGGGCCAGAGTCGATCTGGGATGAAATGGATGCTTTTGGGAGAGGATATTGGCCACTGTCAAGTTCTGAGTTAAAGATCAGCCTACCGGGATCTTAGCTCTTAGCATCAAGAGGACCAGGCATCGGGGTCCATCTCTTCGCTGGATAAGCAAGGACGTCTGTAGAAGCTCTCCAAGAGGTAGCGAGGTAGCCTGAGCAGTGCCAAGAGCCCACTCCTGGTGCCCACTCCAGGTTTACTGAGCCAACTGGACCTGATTAAGGGAAGAGGCACCAGCCTAATCCACTCCGTCGGAGGAGGTCTTGAGTTTCCAGAGGAGAAAAGTGCTGCCACTCCCTGTACAGACTGGCTTTATCCATGTAAATCTCTGTAAAAGAACTACATAAGTCAGGCTGGAGAGATGGCTAGGTAATTAAGAGCACTGATTGCTCTTCCAGAGGACCTGGGTTTGGTTCCCAGCACCCACATGGCTGTTAACAACTGTCTGTAACTCCAGTTCCAGGGGAGTCAATACCTTCTTCTGGCCTCCTTGGGCACTGCAAACATGTAGTACATGTCTTAATACTTTTAAAAAACAACTAGTTAAGTGTCTACAGTTCATAGGCAGCAACTGGAAAGGGCCTGGCCCATCTTATCCCTCCTCCTGAGATAGCCATTTTTCTGACTAGATGTCAAAGACCTGAGGGACAAAAGGCCCTGGTTTCTAAGCGTGGAAATATGTTCCAAGAGGAGGCACTGGGAGGAAGGCAAAGTTCAAGGCCATCTGTACTTCCATAACATCAGCAGAGACAAACTTGCTCATCTCTTTCAGGAAAAAAAAAAAAAATAGGGACACATCCCTGAGGTTGTTAGGAGCCATCAGTTGGCCCCACTAACTCCCTGGTAATAGGGGAGTCAGCTTGGTGCACATACCACTGCACTCCCAAGATCTCTGCTCTCTCCTCTACTATTGTTTGTACCAACAGCTTTGCCACATTTCAGAAGATGCTAGAAAGTGACTCCTTCATCGTGGCTTCTAACTCCCTGCTTCCTCTGCTTAGGATGTCTTCCCAGCAAACTGGCTCATTAATCATTTATGTTTTTTTTAATATCATGCCTTGCATACCTATGGGCAGTGCACTGTCAGCAGCTCAGTTACCAGCATGCCACTGGTCTCCCCAAGACCCAAGAAAATGGGTCATGAACAACCAGTCAGACAAGCAACAGGAATTTCCTTTGATTTAAAAGTAGATGGGAAAAGCTTACAGGCTCAGGCCATCTTTGCCAAGACTGCATCGACAGGATTCCAGAGGGTGGGGGTGGGGTGGAAAAATTTAGATGCACATGATACCCAGCTCCAGCTGGGGAAGAGCGCTGGTCCAGGCTGCAGGCACCAGCAATGTCATCCTTGTGCCGGGCGCTGTCCCTTCAGCACCTCCTTCACAACCTGCCTGTTCTCTCTCCTGCTCCTCCGGTCAGGGAGTCTAGGTGGGCAGCTCCCCTGTTCTGCTATCACTGAGCTACATGAAGCAGGCAGAAACATTGGACCATCAAAACCCAGGATCACATTGGCTCCTGCTATATCAAAGAGAAGTTTGAAGTTCTTGCCTATACCCAGTGCCCTTGAAGTCCTCCTTCATACTACTTCCTATACATAACAAAAGGCTGGGTACATGGGTTGGTGGTAAAGTTCTTACTTAGCATCCATAAAGTCCCGGGTTCCATCCCCAGAACCTTTCTAAAATTAATGTATTTATCCAGGAATAGTGGCTTAGCACTCGGGAGCTAAGACAGGAGGAGTACCAAAAGCTTCTTCAAGGTCTCAAGAAACAAGCAGTAAGAGGGCTGGAGAGATGGATCACTGGTTAAGAGCATTGGATGCTCTTCCAGAGGATCTGGGTCCAATTCCCAACACCCATATGGCAGCTCACAACTATCTGTAGCTCCAGTTCCAGGGGACCTGGCACCCTCATACAGACATACATGCAGGCAAAACGCCAATACACATAAAAAAATCTTTAAAAAAAATCAAAAAAGAAAAAGGAATAAAATCCAAGAGGCTATGGCCACAGATTTTCTGCCTGGGTCTTCCTGAGCTTGTATCTTTGTTCCCACTGTCCCAGAGCCTGGCACAGGTAAAGGTCTAAAAGCCATGGCTATTTTGGCTACTCATGATGGAGGCCACCAGCATATCCTCTGGAGAGCTGCACACAGCAATACAGGTCAGAAGAATCTCAATGCTTTCTGGATGGAGACCCACCATCTTTTCCACTCCAGCTGAGGTTGGGACTCTGGTCTCACAGACACCAAGCACAGGGAACGTGAGTGGAAAGGGTGGTCACCCTTCATGGTCTGCGCTGGCCACACTGTCAGGGCCTCAAGTGAAGCCTCAGAGAATATGCACAGACAGTTGCCACCATCTGAAACCCCTGATAGGAAGCCCAGGTTCATACTTTCAGCACACCTGACTGTTCTGTAATCGCATTCACACCCAGGAGTTTAGTCACCCTCCTTCTAAGGGTCAGTGATCACAGTTAGCAGTACATGGGGATGCTCACCACTGCAGCCTTTCCAACAGAGACCTACTTCCAAACAAGATCTCAAGAAGACAGAGCAGCTGCTGAGGACCAGAAGGGAAAACGCTGCCAGCCGGGAAACAGACTCAATTTGGGGAAATGAGAAGAGACAGGTTCTCAGTCACTCTGGCTGGGCAGAGCTGTGGTTGTTTTAATCCTATAATTTGGACAACAGGAAGTGCCTACCCAGGCAGAAAGGCCCCCTCAAAGGAATTTTCCACTATTAAGAAGCAGGACTGTGTTGGTCTGGATCATGGAGAGCAATGAAGTAAGGAAAAGACAAGGTATGAAAGCACTGTGTTTTTTGGTTGTTTTTTTTTTTTATTTGACAGGAACACTTACTGATTGAAATCAATAGGAATTTAATTTATAGTTGTTGCATTTTTTAAGGACCAGAGCTCTCAACAAGCTGACCTAGCTAGCCCCTGGCAAACTAGCTAATTACATGAGGAACTGAACTTGTACTTCCCAGCCACTTATAATAATTTCACTGCAAGAGTCCCCACTGTGGTGACAGAGATGGCTAAGGAATGGTGGTGTCCCTAGAAGTGTCCAAAGAAGTCCCAAGACAAGCTTTCCAGACTTCTAGAAAGCTCTGGTCACCCTCTTCTATGACAGCTTTATGTCTTTGTGTGCTCCCTTCTTCATTTCTGGACCACAGTGTTGTAAGTACCACCTACACACCCCTTCTTACACCCCCATTGCTGTGGCAATTTTCCCTGTTCCATTGAAGATAAAAGGTGAGGAATTTGGAGGTCCCTTGATCCAGTGAGAGCACGGTCAGGCTGCACTGTGGAGCAATCCATGATGCACTCCCAGGGCTCATTTGTGCTGAACACTTTCCAATTCATGGTCACTCTTCTGAAACCAGCCCTGCCACTCCCTCTCAGAACTTCCCAACCTCTGTCCTCAGACACTAGCCAAGCACAGCACCCCAGCGGCTCACACAATTGCAGGGACTGCACTCTCAGTCTAGAATGCTGTTCCCTGATTTAATGGACCCTGTGTCTCTGCTCAGGAAGGCCCTGAAGTCAGATATCCCCATTCCCTTGCCTTCTCCCCCAACCCTAATTCCTTGTTAGTCTGAAACTATTGCTCATGTGCTCTTCTTCCCTGTGCAGTAAGCTTGGCTCAGGGCCTTAAGGTCCCTCACAGTCCACAGCCTAATCCACAGGAGGGACTTGTCCATTTTCATCCGTGAATGGTTACTTTGGCCTAAGGCTGATGTCACTCTGAGCCTCCAGCCATATGAGCCCTGGATGGCAGCCCAGGAATTGCATGGCTTGGAGTCCTTGGAGTGTACCCTGGGAGGGTGTGGGTGGCTGGAACTCTGTTCTCTAGAGATGCTCCTGCTGGCAGAGTGGTCAGCACCTGCCCACGCACAAGCTATCTGCTGCTGGCTCCTGCCTCCAGCCAGTCCAGGCTTGCTGGGATGTCTTGCTTGACCAGTAGGTTTGAGTAGTGCCTTCCAGCCTGGGGAAGGGCCCGTAGGCCTTTGAGGTTCCTTCTGCAACTGACTCTTACCCTCAGACAAAGGTAGCAAATGCCCCACTAGAAGATGACTTGAGAATACTCCACAGGAGCTTCAGCCTTTTCCTGTGACCCCTGTAGCTACATCCCAGCATCCAGTAAATTCACCTTCCTCTTTTGTCAAAGTCAAGGTGGTCCTAAGGGCAGGGCCATGCCTGCTACAGAGTGTGACCCCCAGCGGCCTCGCAACTCTTGCAAGTAAATGACCTTCAGCAATCCAAGGGCTTGACTCAATTTGTTTGAGCAAATTCTGGACTGGACTCGATTTGTTTGTGTCTCCCAAATTGATTTGTTAGAGTCCTACCCCAAATTGATGGTGTATATTCGGGGCATCTGGGGAGAAGCAAATGGTGAGGATGGAGCCCCATGCTCCAGTCCAAGGTTAGGGAGGGAGCTGAGGCCTACATATGTTCTCTGCCCCCTGCTGTGTGAGGCCACAGAGAAGGTTGCAGGCCCAGAGGC